TAGGCACTTTTCATTCGACTGATATCAAAAACACCCTAATGATCACACTGTAGAGGATTGTGAACTAACCGTTGAAAAATGGAAAGAATTGATTTACAGAGAAGTCATAGCGTATAATCCAAGTGCATGAGCAAAGCTTCAGTACATTTACGCTAAAACAATGACAGAGTTTTAAAATTCGCACAAACATTCGTGTATCAAAAAACAAAAGCGTGGAAAATATATTGTTCATATTAACGCTCTTAATTATATCAAAAAACCCACAGTGGATATAGTATAAGTTTATATTTAAAAAAAAGTCGTATTTTTCGAAAAGATTAAAAAAAGATAACAAAAACACCAAATTCCAATCACAAACAGCAATCATGTTTAATCACAGTTGAAAACATTTTTGACAACATATCGACGTGATGCATAAACAAACACAATGATATGCACAGTGATTTTACGACACATACACATCGCACGCCACATACATACTTGCGATTTGATAACTGATCGTGATTCTCTTTCTGTCACCTTCGTCGATCGCTCTGCATTGTGTGTGTGTGTGTGTATGAGTGAACTTCACAAAGACTTTCTCTTTAGCGGCAAATAATATCAAACATTATAGTGGCCGTAGTGTCATAAATGAACGCACACACGAGTAGTAACAATTTGTATGTGGGCAAACAGTGTATATTAATCAGTGGAATGCTATACATCGGTGATTGTTTATTAATCAAAACAAATTGTATTTCCTATCAGTACAGAAATGTGTTTAAAAAAAGAAATACACTCCGACTAATGTGATATAAATGAAATTTGATAGAGTCATAGTGTTGTCCATATCGTGTGTTCTGTATCGAAAAGTGTTTTAGTTACAATGCCAAATTAATCAGGGAATTATAATCACAAAGAGATATATTGATAATTTGTTTATAAAAATAGAATTTTCCTGGAAACAATAAATCAAGTACATTTATACGAGAGAGAAAAATTAAGTGAAATAAAGTTGTAAAAGGTTGGAGTAAACGTGTTGAAAGAGTTCGTAAAACAAGTGTTAGTTTCGTCAAGTTATTTGTCAAATTGTAAAGAATTTTTAATAAAAGTGTGCCTTAAAACGATACCATGAATTGACCTCATTAAAAACCTGATTTTTTTCTACAATCTAATTTGGTGGTGAAAAGAACGGCGAAAGAGCGACACGTACATTTGTTATTTTATTCATATTTATTTTGATCGTTCTTCAAAGGAAAAAGAGCTTGTTCTTTTTTTCTCTATCATTTTGTCTTAACTTATCGCTAGTCGTTCGCAAAAAGAAGAAGAAAAAAATGAGAGTGTAATAATTCAACCGGAATTTTGACAAGAAGAATTTAATGTATTGAGTCATACATTCCTTTAGTTGCTTTTTTCCTCCAATTTCTCTATTTGTACAATGTATTCGCAAGAAGACTTTTATTCTGTTGACATTGGTGATACAAAATTCACGGTACTCAAGCGATACAAGAATCTGAGGCCGATTGGTGCTGGCACCCAGGGTATCGTTTGGTGAGACAATTCAAGTGTTATACGTCCAAATTTAAAATGAATCATTTGAAAAGAGAAAGTTGTTCAAATTTTTTGTTCATTTCGTTCCAGTGCTGCATATGATGATGTGACAGGAAAGGATGTGGCAATCAAAAAACTATGGAAGCCGTTTCAAAATATCGTATTTGCCAAACGTGCTTATCGAGAGTTTAAGCTGATGAAATTGGTCGATCACGTGAATGTGAGTAAACGCATTTTTTTTCCTTTTTCATTCGAATTTTTTTAAACATACCGTCACCAAACAAATTTACTCTAGATTATTAAACTTCTAAATGCGTTCACGCCACAACGATCTCTGGACGAGTTTCAAGACGTATTTCTTGTGATGGATTTTATGGATGCAAATCTAGGCAATGTCATAAATACTCAATTGGACCATAAGCGAATATCGTATTTACTCTACCAAATGCTTTGTGGCATCAAACATTTGCACTCAGCTGGTATCATACACAGAGTACGTACATACAACAACTATACGTATAATAATTGTTGAATTGAACATTGATCTAATGAGAAACAAATTTTCTGACAAAATATGATCTGTTTCAGGACTTGAAGCCATCTAATATTGTAGTCAAAGCGGATTGTTCACTAAAAATATTAGATTTCGGACTGGCTCGGGCAGCTGGTTCAACAGCAATGATGACCCAATACGTGGTTACTCGATATTATCGGGCGCCTGAAGTGGTCTTGGGCATGGGATATACTGAAAAGGTGGATATTTGGTCAATTGGATGTATTATGGCTGAAATGATATCGAAGGAGATTCTATTTCCCGGTACAGATCATATTGATCAATGGAACAAAATTATTGGTAAAATGAGCTTAAATCGCCGCTATTATTCTAATAAACACTCACATATCTTTGTTATATATTATAGAAATCTTGGGAACACCACCTGCATCATTTTTGAGCAAACTTGAACCGAGTGTGCGGTACTATGTTGAGAGTGGTCCACGATGTACTGGTATAGACTTTAATACATTATTCCCTGACGAAATATTCCCGGATGACTCGACAGAACATGGCTGCTTGACTGCGACTGAAGCGAGGGATTTACTTAGTCGCATGCTGGTAGTTGATCCCGATCAGAGGATTTCTGTCGATCAAGCACTCGATCACACCTATATAAATGCCTGGTACAATGAATGCGAAGTGAATGCAGTAAGTTCTTCATTGATCAGTGAAATGGTTGAAAATGTAACATCTCTTTTATTTTTCTATTGTAGCCGGCACTCAATTCTTACGATCACAGTGTGGAAGAGCATGAGCATACTGTTGAGCAATGGAAGAATCTGATGTACGAAGAAGTCAAAGAATATGAAGCACAAAATTATGAAATGGTCGAGCTATGAGGCAACAATTTCCCAATGGAATAGATACTAAGCAATTGATGAGCTGATATACCGCAAATAATACCAATGTATAGATTGTTTGACATAATAAAATTGAACGAATATACATTAAGAATGTCATCATCGTTTTATGATTTGCGACTCATACCTCATTTTTTAAAAATAAACATTTGATTTCAATTATTAGCTGCCAATGGATAACGATGTGACATATTTCAATAAAACATAGCAATGATTATAAGAATAAAATTTTTTATTGGTTTCATTGTCTGGAGACTTTCGTATTGATTGTCCGTCAACATCTCTGATGCAAAAACCAACGCCGTAGCGTTTCAGACGTTTCTCAGCCCTGGTGATTTTTCAAATGAAAAATGTTCAATACAAACATTTCCTCTTGTCTTTGTTGAGATACGAAGTAATCGTGAAGAGTTTTAGAATGAGACTGAA